ACAGTAGTTAATAAGGACAAATTATTCACTTTAAAAATCATAATAAGGAAATACAAATGTAGAAATCTGAGGCAACCAGAGCTTGATATATAGACAACAGGGAGAGAGAGAGAGAGAGAGAGAGAGAGAGAGAGAGAGAGAGAGAGAGAGAGAGAGAGAGAGAGAGAGAGAGAGAGAGAGAGAGAGAGAGAGAGAGAGAAACAGCAGTTACTAGAGTTCAACTCAGGGACGAGTAAAAATTTCTGAAAGTTGATACAAGGGCGAGGCAGCCGGATGTAGAGTAGAAGCTGCGTGAAGAACACATAACAAAATTAACAGTAGCTTAGGGCAAACATCAGCAGCATATAACAGACTAGCAAAGGCAAGATTGGCTTTCAGAAATCTGATCAAAGACTTCCAAAGTCCTATTCACCAGATATGTAAGACCGATCGTGAGGTGTGTGTGTCTCAGTGTACATATACTGAGACCGATCGTGAAGTGTATGTGTGTCTCAGTGTACATATACTAAGACCGATCGTGAGGTGTATGTGTCTCTCAGTGTACATATACTAAGAGATTATTTTAGTCCCTACTTTAGGAATTCAAGCATTCATGACTGGTGATTAATAGGTTATTAATGAACCTCGATGCTGCAGCATCGAGGGGTCAGAGATTCGCCCCCCAGGCTCGAAATGGAGGACAAAAATCACGACAAATAACTAATGAAAATTAGCCTTTTGTTTCTGGAAATATATTATTATTACAATCAAAACTAAGCGCTAAACCCACAAGTATCTGTATAGGAGAGGAGATGTAATCATTGCATCCATAAACAAGTTCGACCAGAAGAAGGGAAGACACATGCATGCTGAACACCAAGATAAGTTCACATTACTGTAGTATAAATGTGAAACAAACTAGGAGAAATTATGAAAAATCTGTTCATGAATTTAAATGTTAATACGGATAAACAGGTTAATTATTGGTCGAGTGGCCCAGGATCTGGGGTCTGCCTACCCAAAGTGGTAGGCTGATAACATTTTCTAGGCTGCTAGAACTTTACAAGATGAACGATTGCTTAATGATGTGAAGGAAGTACCAGGGTGACAGGAAGTGCTTCAGGGACTCAAGGAAGTACCTGAAAGAAGGACGACAAATGATGAAAGAGGAAGTATAAGTGGCCGAAGGTAACTAGCGGAATCCCTCAAAAGATCAGCCCAAGAACCCATAACCTTTCTGAAGTATCACAACGACCTGCCACGGCGGGCAGCCACTCCGTGATAAGACATATCCAGCAGTTAGATATCTCTGTTGTCGGCAGTAAAGATACTTAAGTCTCACATAAACCTGTCACTGTAGACCATTTATAGTAAGATAGCCATTATATGCCACAACTCCTAGTGTTGACAACACTGTTATAAAGCTCATGAAGAGAGGATGACAGCGAGAAATTTGATACGAGAGCACAATGTCGACCTTAATGAAAAAAAGGACAGGTGGAGAACATGAAATTGTCACGACGTTGATTTTGGTCGAGTAAGATACATGTACGATAACTGGGTAACCTAATTGTTGAAACGTTTCGTCTGCTCGGCGGGATTTTCTCAGCTGAATATATATAGGTGATTTAAATACTGGAGACATCAGAAGCAGTGAGAAGGTAAATACGAGATGATCTGTCCCCAGCCTTGATAAGTGTTCGTAGCGTCGATCATTGTAATCGACGCTACAAAGGTTTACTTAAAGAACATAAAGGCACAATACCATGACTGGAACAGAACACAACCTGCTCATAGGAGGAACAAATTTATAACGACGCTTCGGTCCGATTTGACTACTTAATGGTCCAAGTCTGACCGAAACGTCGTCATTCGTTTCTATGTGCGGATTATTTATGTAAAACAAGGAACCTCGTTTAACAGAAAACTCATTAATCAACTGATACAATATATGACTTCCCTTATTAACAGCGTCGGATATAACGTAAAATTTATTAATTGCCGTTTCTATCCACGACCAGGGAAAATGCGTTATTATTTCCTGCAGCGGACACCAGGTGGCTCCCTCCTGGTGAACTTTACAAATATCTGGTTCAAGGTCATCTCAGACTTGTTTTTTAAGAAAAATTGTATTTGTCTTCCTGATATTCTTTTTTATTAAATAAAAATTTTGCTAGCAGACACGTGATAATTTTAAATATTGTTTTTAGGGAGGTTGGATTGATTATCGATTTCTTGAAGATTTTTTTAGGGGAGTATTCCGAAATCGGTTTAAGTTTTTTTTTTTTTGTAGTTACTGAGGTTAGTAGCATCGTGGGATGAGTGAGGTAAGGAGAGCAGAGGAAGGGAGGGGAGGTTAGCACAACGGTACACCTTGACTGGTTCACCTTGGGTCCTCAGCCTCGTGCTGGACCCACAGTGGGCCTGCACCGACACTGACTGGTCCACCATGGGTCCTCAGCCTCGTGTTGGACCCACAGTGGGCCTGCACCGGCACTGACTGGTCCACCATGGGTCCTCAGCCTCGTGCTGGACCCACAGTGGGCCTTCATTGATACTGATTGGTCCACCATGGGTCCTCAGCTTCGTGTTGGACCCACAGTGAGCCTGCATCGACACTGACTGGTCCACCATGGGTCCCTCAGCCTCGTGCTGAACCCACAGTGGGCCTGCATCGACACTGACTGGTCCACCATGGGTCCTCAGCCTCGTGCTGGTCCCACAGTGGGCCTGCATCGACACTGATTGTCCACCATGGGTCCCTCAGCCTCGCGCTGGACCCACAGTGGGCCTGCATCGACACTGACTGGTCCACCATAGGTCCTCAGCCTCGTGCTGGACCCACAGTGGGCCCGCATCGACACTGACTGGTCCACCATGGGTCCCCAGCCACATTCTGGGCCCACAACGCACCTGCACCGGCCTGTATTAGTCCTTCTTGGGTCCCCACCCTCGTACTGGACCGTCTTGTATTGTTTATATCCTAAGCTTCACATATTCTGGTTTACCATGGCTGGTTATTTAACAACTCGTAACTATCCACTTGCTTATCTCTAATTGTTTGCCTACATGCGGGTTACCGAACTTTTTTACCTATTTGCCAAAGTGTTTAGCTGTTTATTTCCCTGTTTGCTTAACATCCTCCTTAATTAACTACTTATCTAATTACTTAGGAAATGCCTATCCACTTGTTTATCTCCAGTGGAAGATAATAGAATACAACAGTGAAGGAAGTAGTGGTAGGACAACCTGATACTTGGGAATCAATATTTACTATGTAAATATATTTTTTATGATCCGCTGAATTCAACAGTTATACATGTCAAGACAACCTCAGAAACTCGCCTGACGCAACACAAGGGCAAATTATTTTCCTTTTGTGTAGAAAAATTACAATTATCAGAGCTAGAAAAAAAAAAACGGAGGTTGAACAGTGTGTCCTTAACCCGTTGCTATTTTATGCTCGGTATCATATTTTATTCCCTGTCTCTGTTACTCTGCTCCCTGAATCCAGTGGCGGGCTTACATTTTTAGTCCTGAAGCTTGAACTGTTATGGGGGTCCCTTCTCATACAGTATACACAATTTTTTTAAGCAATGTGGTATACAGTCGTTTCTGGGGCACCTCTGGGATTAGGGGGTCTGAAGCTTAAGCTTCATTAATTTCATAGCAGATCCGCCCCTGCCTGAATCTGTATGCAACTGAGGCATGTGGCAATAGAACACTTATGGGAGGACACGTTTCAACAACCAAGGATTTTATGAACCCAATACAGAGACCAGGAAATACAGAATATATACATACAGTGCTCGGAGTCGGGTACCAAATGGACTGTGGGCCGATTATTAAATTACTGATTGAACACAATTACGAGAAGCTGATGAATAAAACATGTACATGTTCAACACTTGAGTATCCTAATTGCCGAAATGTTTCGCCTTCACAACAGGCTTCCTCAGTCGAATATAGGTGAATATAGCAATGCCAATGATTTAGCTAGAGGGACTGACCACCGACCAAGGTTGACTGATCACCTCAAAGTACTTCTACTGCCATCAACGCTGTATTCTCCTGTACTCGACTGAAGTAGCCGGTTGAGCAGGCGAAACGTTTGAGCAATTTACTCAGATGTCGTATATGTGTCTTACTGATCAACTTGTGAGTGGGGTTTAGGTTATGGCAGTCTTCCACTAGAATGGTTTCGGTCAGTATTTTCCAGATAACGAAAGTTGGTTGTGTTTTGAGCGATGGTATTAGCGTTGAGAGAGCAGATTCCAAGCATCATTTATTGTGAAGACGTTTCGTTCCCCAGGGACCTCATCAACTGATATGAATTGATGAAGACCCTGGTGTCTTATTTACACACACGAGTTAACGATTCAGGTCTGATTCCTTGACATTTTTTTATCTTCTGGAGAACTTCCTGAGATGCTTGTGAGTGTTGCGATGCAGCCATTGAGTGTATCGTCCCTTTTGCAAGCATAACTATGTTCATTGATGCGTTACTGTAGGCTCGTACATATTTCCTCCTACGTATAGTCTATGAGATGCCGCACGTGGATTAGCGTAGATATCTGTGCTGGAGTCACCGTGTTGCATGTTATTCTTTGTTAAATTCTTGATGCTGTAATGGTAATGAATGTACCCATAGAATAATGAATAAAAATTAATAACCCATGGAATATGCAGTAGCTGATTTAGGTATATGATGGTAATTTAGATATGCAGTAAATCCGTAAATCTGGGGAATGTAATGTTATCAGTTCTATCTCATAAAAGGAGATAACTCCATTTTCTTTTAATAAAATTTGCATCCAACTTTTGTAATCCAGTAGTTCTGCCACACACGCATGCGTATGTAGCTGCTCACGTGTTCAATTAAAATTTGTTCAGCATTACCGTGTATCAGAACTTACATCCTTGCAGAAATGTATTTTCACTATGTATCTTTGTATATTATATGGACCTAAGTTCAAAAAATAGTGTTATTATGTTTATACTAACTTATTTTTTTTCCACAGAATTCGTTAAAGATGGGACGGTGGCGGAGCGGGCGGCCGCTCCTGCTGTATCCTAGTGTTCTGCTGCTCTGCTGCCTCCTACGGGTGTCTCAAGGTGCACCTGCAGACCTCAGCAGAGAAGATACTACCAGCAGAGAAAGGATTGTCAGCCCAAACTACTCAGTCAGCTACAGCACTGGTGGTGGCAGAGGCTTCCAGGGACAACAATTTTTCGTGAAGCCTGAGAGCGCAGAAGAACCTGACAACAACAGTAAGGAAGGGTACAGACTGAGCCACCCGACTGGTACACAGTTTTCTATTTCTGCTCCTGGTCATAATCCTAATGTGGGTGTTAGTTTGCCATCTCTCAGTGCGGTTCCTGGGAGCGGGAGCAGTGCAACACACACCCATGCAGCCACTCATAGCCGTAGCCACAATCACCACACACTGGTAGACAAGAATGTAGAGTTCTCTATTGGTAGCTCCGTCTTGCCAAGAGCAAGAAGTTCCCCCGGTTCCCAAGCAGGATTTTCCTCTCAGTTTCTCGTGTTTAAGGATGATGATTGATGATGATAATATTAATGATTCCATTTGAATACGACGATAACGTACCTTACATGAGCCTAGGTAGGAGATATTACCCAGAAGGAAGTGCCCCAACTCATCCTCAGAAGCTCTTCATACCACCTACGGCTCCGCTTGCTACCAGGACTAATGTACATCCAAAGCAGATGCTCGCAACATTTAACAATCCATATATATATACCGTAGATTATTCAAATGAGGATCTTGATGGAGACGACGATGACGACCTAAGGCTCTTAGTTGGCTCAAATTTCGTAAGCCTGAGGCGTGAGGGCAGCGATGAAGAGCGTATAGTACTACACGACAATATTCTGTCTAACCGCTATAACTTCATCGATGGCCAAGGTACCGTCCGATGGGGCTACACCCTCGATGATCAATATCAACAACAAGCTGTGAAAAAAGATGGAACTATGGAAGGAAAATTTGGATGGACTGCTCCAAATGGTCGCGAAATCAATGTTGAATATGTTGCTGATGAAGGTGGCTATAGAGTACTAAACTCTAAAAATATTTTTCCGGAAGATGACGGCGACGTAAAGAAGCTGAAGGAACAACATTTCAAGGTTCATCAAGTGATCACAAGTGGCGGGACAGTTTCTCCGGGACACGATGATACTCAGTATACAATAGGGGCACCTGCTGGCCCTGGAAGTGAATTCGTAGGTGTGCCTCTTCCTGGTATTGAAGATCCTGGATTAGAAACATCCACTGGTGTACAAATGGGCCCAGTAGGAGTCCCGCTTCCTGGATTTGGAGTTGACAGCTCAGCAGGACCTGGATCTCCTGGTTACGATGGTTCTAGTGGCAGTGTTGGAATACCTCTTCCTGGGTTCGATCAAACTGACCAGGCTGGTGGAGGACCTACGGGAATACAGAGTGTCTTCATTACTACCGATGATGATGATGATGATGACAGATTCCTGACACCTGCTGGAGGAGGCATTCCTCTTCCTGGATTCGATCAAGTTGGCCAAGGAGCCGGAGATACATCCTTCCAAGGCCCACCTTCCAGTGTCTCGATATCAGGGCCTGCGACTACGACAACGGGCAGTAGTCCAATTAGCGTGGGCGTCCCGCTGCCAAGTCTAGAAACTGGTGGTGCTCAGCCCGTTGGACCATCTACACCGGCTTTTTTTGATGATGGTGAGCGAGTCGTAATTTTGGATGGAGGAGGAACTGGTGTTGGCCTCCCAAGTCCAGCAGGACCTAGTGATGTTGGAACTCTTGGTGCAACACCCGAAGACCCAACCTTAGCGGATCAGTGCCAACTCGCTGGAAAGACACACCCATCTCTTCTTCCAGCGGAGTGTCAACAAACCGTAACTCCAGAGCTTAGTACTGGAGTGGGAAGCCCTGGGTTCGCTGATTTTGGAGTTCCTCTTCCTGGGTTTGGAACTGAAGCTGAAACTGGAGTTGGTTCTGGAGTAGAAAGTCCAGGATTAGGCACTGGAGTAGGAAGTCCAGGGCTTGATGTAGGCGCTGGAAGTCCAGAGTTAGGTACTGGAACAGCAAGCCCTGAATTTGGAGTACCTCTGCCTGGAACCACGGGGGCTGATTTCGGAGCAGGAACTCCAGGCTTTGATACTGGAACAGCAAGTCCAGGCTTTGATACTGGAGCAGCGGCTACAGGTTTTGATGTCGGAGCTGGAAGTCCTGGGTTAGGTACTGGAACAGCAAGCCCTGAATTTGGAGTACCTTTGCCTGGATTTGGAGCAGGAACTGGAACCATGGGGGCTGATTTTGGAGCAGTAACTCCAGGCTTTGATAGTGGAACAGCAAGTCCTGGCTTTGATACTGGAGCAGCGGCTACAGGATTTGATGTCGGAGCTGGAAGTCCTGGGGTAGGTACTGGAACAGCAAGCCCTGAATTTGGAGTACCTTTGCCTGGATTTGAAGCAGGAACTGGAACCACTGGGGCTGATTCTGGAGCAGTAACTCCAGGCTTTGATAGTGGAGCAGCAAGTCCAGGCTTTGATACTGGAGCAGCGGCTACAGGTTTTGATGTCGGAGCTGGAAGTCCTGGGTTAGGTACTGGAACAGCAAGCCCTGAATTTGGAGTACCTTTGCCTGGATTTGGAGCAGGAACTGAAACTACGGGGGCTGATTTTGGAGCAGTAACTCCAGGCTTTGATAGTGGAGCAGCGGCTACAGGGTTTGATGTCGGAGCTGGAAGTCCAGGGTTAGGTACTGGAACAGCAAGCCCTGAATTTGGAGTACCTTTGCCTGGATTTGGTGCAGGAACTGGAACCACGGGGGCTGATTCTGGAGCAGGAGTTCCAGGATTTGATACTGAAACAGGAAGTCCAGGATTTGGTACTGTGGATTCAGGAGTCAGTACTGGAACCACGGGGGCTGATTTGGAGCAGCAGTTCCAGGTTTGATACTGAACAGAAGTCCAGGATTTGAGTACTGGAGTTCAGGAGTCTACTGGAACCAGCTGATTTGGAGATGTCCGGTTTGAGCTGGAGGAAGTCCAGGGTGTGATGGAGTCAGGTACTGGAACAGCAAGCCCTGAATTTGGAGTACCTTTGCCTGGATTTGGAGCAGGAACTGGAACCACGGGGGCTGATTTTGGAGCAGGAACTGGAATCACAGGGGCTGATTTTGGAGCAGGAACTCCAGGCTTTGATTCTGGAACAGGAAGTCCAGGATTTGATATCGGAGCTGGAAGTCCAGGGTTAGGTACTGGAACAGCAAGCCCTGAATTTGGAATACCTTTGCCTGGATTTGGAGCAGGGACTGGAACCACGGGGACTGATTCTGTAGCAGTAGCTCCAGGATTTGATACTGGAGCAGGAAGTCCAGGGTTTGAAACTGGAGCAGCGGCTACAGGATTTGACGTCGGAGCTGGAAGTCCAGGGTTAGGTACTGGAACAGCAAGCCCTGAATTTGGAGTACCTTTACCTGGATTTGGAGCAGGAACTGGAACCACGGGGACTGACTCTGGAACAGGAGCACCAGGATTTGATATTGGAGCGGGAAGTCCAGGATTTGACACCTTGGATTCAGGAATCAGTACTGGAGCAGGAAGTCCTGGATTTGGCAGTATAGGAGCACCTCTACCTGGCTTTGGTGGAGCTGGAGCTGATTCTGGAACAGGAAGTTTTGGATCTGATGGTGGAACAGGAAGCCCAGGCGCTGTGGATTCAGGATTTGGTGCTGGTACAGTAGATTCAGGAGTGAGTACCGGAGCTGGAAGTCCAGGATTCGGTACTGGAACAGCAAGCCCTGAATTTGGAGTGCCTTTGCCTGGATTTAGAGTAGGAACAGGAGCTACAGGAGCTGATTCTGGAGCAGGAAGTTCAGGCTTTGATGCAGGAACAGGCAGTCCAGGATTTGGCACTGTTGATTCAGGATTCGGCACTGGTGCAGTAGACATAGGACTCGACACTGGAGCAGGAAGTCCTGGAGTTAGTACTGGAGCAGGAATTCCTGGATTTGGTGAAGTAGGAGTACCTCTGTCTGGCTTTGGAGCTGGAACTTCTCCGACTGATTCTGGAACAGGAAGTTTAGGATTTGATGCTGAAACTGGAAGTCCAGGATTTGGTACTGTGGATTCTGGATTTGGTACTGGTGCAGTAGATTCAGGAGTTAGTACTGGAGCTGGAAGTCCAGGATTCGGTACTGGAACAGCAAGCCCTGAATTTGGAGTGCCTTTGCCTGGATTTGGAGTAGGAACAGGAGCTACAGGAGCTGATTCTGGAGCAGGAAGTCCAGGCTTTGATGCAGGAGCAGGCAGTCCAGGATTTGGCACTGCTGATTCAGGATTCGGCACTGGTGCAGTGGGCATAGGACTCGACACTGGAGCAGGAAGTCCTGGAGTTAGCACTGGAGCAGGAAGTCCTGGAGTTAGTACTGGAGCAGGAATTCCTGGATTTGGTGAAGTAGGAGTGTCTCTACCTGGCTTTGGTGGAGCTGGAACTTCAGGAACTGATACCGGAGTAGGAAGTCCAGGCTTTGATACAGGAGCAGGCAGTCCAGGATTTGGCACTGTTGATCCTCAATTCGGCACTGGCGCAGTAGGCATAGGACTTGACACTGGAGAAGGCAGTCCTGGAATCAGTGCTGGAGCAGGAAGCCCTGGAGTTAGTACTGGAGTAGGAAGTCCAGGATTTGGTGGAGTGCCTTTACCCGGCTTTGGAGAAGCCGGAACCTTAGGAACGGACTCCGCAGCAGGAAGTCCAGGATTAAGTACTGGAGATTTAGGATCCGAAATTAGTAGAGGAAGTCCAGATTTCAGTACTGGTGCAGTAGGTATTGGACTCGATACTGGAGCAGGAAGTCCGGGGTTTGAAGCTGGAACAGGAACTCCAGGGTTTGGTACTGGGGATTCAGGATTTGGTACTGGTGCAGTAGATTCAGGTGTTACTACTGGAGCTGGAAGTCCAGGATTCGGTACAAGACCTGCAAGCCCTGAATTTGGAGTGCCTTTGCCTGGATTTGGAGTAGGAGCAGTAACTACAGGCGCTGATTCTGGAGCTGGAAGTCCAGGCTTTGATGCAGGTGCAGGCAGTCCAGGATTTGGCACTGCTGATTCAGGATTTGGCACTGGAGCAATTGGCACAGGACTCGACACTGGAACAGGAAGTCCTGGAGTTAGTACTGGAGCAGGAAGTCCAGTATTTGGTGAAGTAGGAGTGTCTCTACCTGGCTTTGGTGGAGCTGGAACTTCAGGGACTGATACTGGAGCAGGAAGTCCAGGGTTTGGCACTGTTGATTCACAACTCGGCACCGGTGCATTAGGCATAGGACTTGACACTGGAGCAGTAAGTCCTGGAGTTAGTACTGGAGCAGGAAGTCCAGTATTTGGTGAAGTAGGAGTGTCTCTACCTGGCTTTGGTGGAGCTGGAACTTCAGGGACTGATACTGGAGCAGGAAGTCCAGGGTTTGGCACTGTTGATTCACAATTCGGCACCGGTGCATTAGGCATAGGACTTGACACTGGAGCAGTAAGTCCTGGAGTTAGTACTGGGGCAGGAAGTCCAGGATTTGGTGAAGTTGGAGTGCCTCTACCTGGCTTTGGTGTAGCCGGAACCTCAGGAACGGACTCCGCAGCAGGAAGTCCAGGATTTAGTACTGGAGATTTAGGATTCGGAGCTAGTACAGGAAGTCCTGATTTCAGTACTGGTGCGACAGGTACTGGACTCGACACTGGAACAGGAATTCCAGGATTTGGTACCGGAGATTCAGGATTCAGTACTGATGCAGTAGGTATTGGACTCAGTACTGGATCAGGTAGTCCAGGATTTGATATTGGAGGAAGTCCAGGAGTCGGTACCGGAGCAGGAAGTCCAGGATTTGCTGAAGTAGGAGTTTCATTGCCTGGTTTTGGTGGAGCTGGAATTTCAGGGACTGATTCGAGTGTAGGAACTGCAGGATCTGGTACTGGAGATTTAGGATTCGGCACTGGTGCACTTGGCACAGGACTCGATACTGGAGCAGAAAGTTCTGGGCCAGGATCTGAATTTGGAGCCTCAGTAACCGATTCGGGTATAGGAAGTTCAGGATTCGGTAGTGGAACAGGAACCTCGGGATTTGGTGAGGTAGGAGTAGCTCTGCCTGGATTTGGGGGAACAGGAACTTCTGGGACTGGTTCTGGAGCAGGAAGTCCAGAATTCGGTTCTGGCGCAGTAGGTATAGGACTCGATAGTGGAGCAGAAAGTCCTGGATTCAGCAGTGGAACAGGTTCTGGTATTGGTAGTGAATTTGGAGCATCCACCCCAGGATTCGGATTTGGAACCTCAGCGACTGCTTCAGCTTCTGGAAGTTCAGGATTTGACGCAGGAAAAGGAAGTCCAGGATTCCGCAATGGATTCGTTAGTGGAACAGGAAGCTCAAGATTAGGTACTGAAAAAGGAAGCGCAGGATTTGGTGAAGTTGGAGTTGCGTTGCCTGGATTTGGAGGACCTGGAATTTCGGCAACTGCTTCGGGTGCAGGAAGTCCTGGATTCAGTACCGGAGCAGGATTTTCAGAATTCAGCACCGGAGATTTGGGTACTGGAGCAGTAAGTCCTGGATTGGGCAGTGAAATCGGAGTGTCTTTGTCTGGGTCCAGTGCCGATGCAGGAAGCTCAGGGTTTAACTTTGGAGGTATAGAAGGGTCTACGTCTGGTGTAGGTGGCGCTGGAGATGCAGTATCCACTCCAAGCTTCGGAAGTGGTATAGGGTTAGATTTTGGCTCCCCAGCAAGTGGATCAGCAGTTAGTCAAGGAATTGATGATAGTAAGTCGAGTGGTTCTGGATTCTCTGGCGGATCAACTGGAGTACCATTACCTGGTTTCGGTGGTGGTTCTGGACTTCGTATGGACAGTTCAGTATCTGCCGATGTAGGTTTTACAACAGGCACATTAGCCGCGTCTGACGTTCCTTTACAGGGTCCACCATTTCCGAATGATTTTTCCATAGACTCTAGCTTTGGGTCAGGTGCGCCCCCTGGTTTCTCACCAAGTAATGAAGTAGGATCCTCATTTTCTTCCACTGCGGGAGGACTAAAGAGTGAAGCAGCTGCAGACTTTGTGAGCTCCGCCTCTTCCAGTTCGGTGTCAATTACCGGTCAACGAAAAGGGTCAAAGAATTACATCAACCCAGACAGCGTTGTATTTCCGTTTTTTGAGTTAGGCCCACCTGAGCTTTCTTTAGTGCAAGTTGCAGGTGGGCCTAAAACCCCATTTGATGTCCCTGAAAACATTATAAATGCTGCGCCAATAAAAGATATTTCTATTGCTTCCAAAAATGATATTAGAGCAGAAGTTTCAATACCAGTTGAGCCAGAGCTCACAGCAGAGGAACCACAAGACTTGGAACAGATCTACCATGATATATACGGCATTAAATTTCTGAAAAAAGACACTACCATACGAGATAAATTTTCCACCCCAAAAAATTTACAACCTCCCAAGCTCTGACTTAAGTAATACCGCTCTTCTAATGTCTTTTGTTGCGTGCGTGTCCGCAAACGCCCAACTGTAAACATGTTATAGTAGAGTAGAGCACAAAGTGCTGACGACAATGCGAAACAGAAACACTGTATTGAGAGTGGATTATATTTCACGTAACATTTTGCCTCACATGGCTCAGTGTTGGATTTGACACTGGATCTGAAAGGCTAGGTTCAGTAGTGGATTTTACACTGGATCAAGAAGGCCAGGGTTCGGTGGTGGATTTAATATTAGACGTGGAAATCTTGGGATTGGATAAAGCTCAGCAAGGCGAAATGTTAACTGAAAGAGAATACTCTCTGCAATGTTATTTTTAAAATTCAAGAGTGAAGAAACTCATGAAGACTATTCCAAAACCCCAAAAATCTTTAACTCACTAAACCCAATAAAACCGTATATTTTGTGCACTAATATCTACTGTACGTAACTTATAAACGTATTTA